AAGAGAAAAGTCCTTGTTTCCTTTCAACAGCTGTGGGCCCAGGATCCCCTATAGATCTCCAGGTATCTTGGCATCCATCTTTCCCCTAGATCTAGGGGGTTCTTGGCAAAGGGACCCGAAGATCAAAGGACGGGCATGCGCCTGGGCTTTTCTTTATTGATGGTAGTTGGATCCCTCTGATCTCTGCTCCCTGTTTAATCTTTTATATCTCAGGAGACAACCTAACCCTGTACACTGTTTCCTGCCTCATGAACATAACTGCCTCCATTAACATCATAGAGAGTTAGATTTACAAGACATAGGATAATTACATCCGATCACAAAATTGAGGAAAACTACTAATATTGAGAATCACGGACTAGCCCAGTTTACACATATTTTGGAGTGGACACAATTCAACCCACTGCAGTCACATTCCTAAAAAGGCTCTTGGTAATAAATTCCAAAGAGGGGTAAAAACTGAAAACAACTTAAATGCCTTCCAAGCTATAACTGGTCATATAACAGATTCAAAAGAATACCTGTTTGCCATCAGGATGAATGCTCCCACATCCTCCCAGATCATTGGAAGCCATTAAATTAAAACAACAAAAAGGCAAATAGACTGTGTGGAACAGTTGAGCTACCCATACATATGTGAATAATTTTAATTGTTAACCATTTTTCAAGAATTTGTTCAAGAAATTGTTAATAGGAGCTTTCCTGAAAATTGGGAGAGGGGAGATTGTGGAGTGTTTAATAAGGAAGACTTAACTTTGTGTACTATACAATAAGGTGCCCTGGCAGCACAGTGGTTAACTGCTTGCTGCTACTGAAGGTCCAGCAGCTTGAACCCACCAGCATCTTGTTAGAAGAAAGAGAAGATAGTCGGCTTCCCTAAAGACTTACACACCCTGGCAACATTGTAGGGCAGTTCTACTATGTTCTGTAGCTATCAATTGACTTGACAGCTTCAGGTTTGTTTGTTAGTTTACTTTGATTTAAAAAAAAAAATCTTCAGGTTCTACTAGACACATGACTGCAGAATATTATAAAGAGAGCCAAAGAAGAAACTACACTGTTATAAAAGTGGTGTGCCTGAGGTTACACCTTCATATCTACTCTCTCATGAGATTAGAGAGAAGAAGGTATTAGGACAGGTGAGGAGCCAGAAACTGAAGTTCACAAATCACAAGTTTTCCTGAGATCAGGTCTGCTGGCCTCCAAGGTCAGTGCTTTTTCTTGGGCAGGGGCCGCCTACCACTCACACTCCAGCTGACAATCACAGAGCCTGGGCAAAAACCAAAACCATTGCCATTAAGTCAATTCTGACACTTAACAACTCTGTACATAGGGTTTCTGAGATGGTAAATCTTTACAGGAGCACACAGCCTCATCATTCTCCCGTGGAACACATGATGGGTTTGAACCACTGACCTTGCAGTTAGCAATTCAGAGCTTAAGCAAAAGTAGGATTCTAACTAGTCAGGCTGCTAATCATAACGTCAGCAGTTCAAAACTACCAGCAGTTCTGGAGGAGAAAGATGAAGCTTTCTGCTCCATAAAGATTTACAGCCTCGGAAACCTTAAACAGGGTCACTATGAGTCAGAATCAACTCTGCGGCACATGACCACCACTTCTAACCAAAGGATATTCGGTTTGACTTAATGAAATAACTGATTTCTAAAAACTTCTCAATGAAACACGTTTACTATGGGGTAAATTTTCTGGTACAAATTATACAATAAAGCTGTTTTAAAATGCTAAAGAAAGAAACAAAGTGCTAGGCACAAGAAGAAATCTGTATTTCATTAGATTCACTGACTGTTTTGAATAAAGAGAGACTTCAGAGATGGTGAACTCTGCCCTATCACTTTACAGGAAGGGAGACAAAATTCTAGCACAGCCAACAGACCTGTTTGTCTACAGTTACAAAGGCAGTTGAGAGCAAGCACATTTGGCAGAAGGTACGTGTGGTAAAACTCTTCACTCGTGGAAGTCACTGTGCTCTCATGGTTAAATTTCATTTTCAAATTATAGGAGCATCTTAGTATGTGAATGACCAGGTCAGAAACGGAAGTTTCCCTGTCTGTAAGAAGGCAGCCATCTATTGTCATCTCAATCCTCATAAGCTGCTAACAGTGACTCAGAAAGGAGATCCCGAGAGTCACATTCCCCTACTTCTTGAAAAGACGGTTCCAGAACTTCATCATGTATTTATCACCCAGGAAAGTCCTAGAAAGCCAAGCAGGTCCTCACGTGCACTGTCTTGGGAACAGATAGCAGTAAAAATTGATCTTTAGTTGTGACCACAAAAACATCTCATTGCTGTTGTTAAATGGTGTCGACTCAGTTCTGACTCACTGTTGCTGTGAAGTGCCATCGAGCTGGTTCCAACTCATTGTGACCCTGTACAAGGTTTCCAAAAGCAACTGGTGAGCTTGAACCGCTGACCTTGAGGTTCAAACCAGCTTTGCAGTCCAGTACATTAGCCCACAGCACCACACCAGGACTCTGTTCTAACTCATAGAAACCCTTTATAGGGTTTCTGAGGACTGGTTGGTGGTTTTTAACTGCCTTCGTTGTGGTTAGCAGTCCAGGGCTCATCCTACGGCGCCATACCAGGACTCCAAAAATGTCTCTAGACATTGCTGAATGTCCTCTCATGGACATAACTGGTCCTTGGTTGAAAATCACTGGAGGATGGCAGACTTAGATACTGGCCCCTATTATAGGCAGCAGTTAGAGCTGTTCAGGTAAGACTCAGAACATCTGCAGGTGAGTGGCTACTGTTTACTGTGGGGTTTTTATGTGCCATGCACTGAGCGACCTGCTTCTCCCAAATGACTCAGTCTGCAATCTCACAATCATCCTGAACTGGGAAAGTTTCTATTCTGACTTGAGTTGGCATGTCCTTATCTCTCAGTCCAAGGACATGTTAGAACGAGGTTATTTTCTACTGAGTCCTCCATATGCTTGTTGTTAAGTGCCATTGAGTTGGTTCCAACCCACAACAACCCTGTACAGGGTTTCTGAGGAGCGGCTAGTGAGCTTGAACCGCCGACCTTGTGGTTCAGACTTACTTTGCAGTCCAGCACAAAGTCACACCAGGACACACAGTGCCACAACAGGACTCCTACCATACTCACCTGTATAAGTCTCATATTGGCTTCATCCATTGAAATACCTCTATACAAATGGGTATTAAGTGCCCATACCCAACTCCCCCAACTAGGTCTTGTTAACTCCATCAATCAGTATGGAAAAAGCTATATAGATCGACTTCAACCTAGCCTGATCTTTTCACTACTTTTTAATGAAGTTACATATTTTTCGCCTTGAGTCAATATACACCATGCTTGAGGAAGGGTGTTATTTTAAACCACCACACACTGCCACCATCTGTCTGGACCTGGGGATTGGGGTCTTGAGTAAGCACAGGCAAATGGGCAGAGGTGGAGACATGGCTCTCCACTCAGCCTGGGAGATAGGAAGGTTGGAGCCTACCCCAGTGTAGCCAAGAAATGCTGAGAAATAAAACTACACTTCTCTACATGTCCCTGAGAAGGGCTATGGGCATGCATAGACACTAAGTCTCCCAGCCCTTGGAGTGGACACCGGGATGGAGGGCAGCTGGCAGAGTGACTTCAGTACACTAGGTAATAAGGGTACAAGTGTGTGTTGTGACGTGAAAAGAAACTGGGCAAACACAATCCCAGATGGCACATGTCATGGTGATTCTGATCCTGCCTGCAGCCCTTTTGAGCTTGTCTGCATTTCCTACAATAAACATGTATTGGACTTTTTATGATCACTAACCAGTTAATGTTGTCTTTATAATTGCTTGCTGTATGATCTTTTTTTCCCCTTTAAATAATCTTTTCTTGTGCTTTTGGTGAAGTTGTTCAATGATACTGATCAGTCTTCACACCCTGTGAGCTTTGTCATGATTTCCATTCTGGTTGATCATTTCCATTCTTCTAGTTTCCCTGCCTCTTTATCGTTTCATCTTTGTTTTAAAGGGATTGTTAACCATTTGGTCTCATATGGGTGGTTTTTCAAAGGAGCACAGTACTAACGGATGATGCTCATTATTTTTTGAGTCCATCAGTTATTTAGGTACAAAGTGACTTCAGGGGTTAGTTTCCCTTGTTTCAAGGTTTGAAGAGTTGCTCTGTAACACTGAAAACATGAGAAACCTTAACCTCTATGTCCCTCAGTTTCCTAATTTATAAAATAGGGATAACTCAGAGAATCCACCCTAATAGCTCATGCTGCTGCTGTGTCGTCAAGTTGGTTTCAACTCATACATATCCTGGATAGGGTTTCCGAGGCTATACATCTTTATGGGAGCAGAAAGTCTCGTTCTATCCCATGGAGCAGCTGATGGATTCGAACTGCTGACCTTGCGATCAGGAACCCAACACATAATTCACTAAGCTACCAGGACTCCTCAATTGCTCATACTAGTCATTGATTTAAGGGTCACTGTTTTTATTTCTGAGGAGTCCTGGTGTGGTGCTGTAGGATAAGCACTGGACCACAAGGTTGGTTTGAACAGCAAGATCAAACCCATCCGCCACTCCTTGGAAATCTTAACAGTGGCACTATAAGTCAGAACCGACTTGATGGCACTTGAGTAGCTCACTAACAGTGAAAGGCAAACAAATGAAATACAGCAGCTGTGAGTAAGGCTGCTTGTGAGGTCAAGGAAGAACTGTGAAGAGGGAAAGGAGTAAAGAGAAGTTGCTTGATTTATGACCCTGCCATCTGTCTCTACTTTAGAGGGCAGTTCAATTTATAAAATAAATTTTTTTTTAAGTACAAGCTGTTTAGAAACCAGGCCTCCACCCTCACTCACTGCCTTCCTCATGTGGTCTGAGAGAGCTAGTCAGTAAGGATTCCAGGTCATTGCCTAGGCACTCGACTCCAGGCAAATACCAAGAAAACATGGAGCCTCGGCCAGGCGCCACACCTGCAAGAACCAGGTCTTGCCTGGGAAGCTGCTTCAAACCCTCACCTTGGAGAAGAAAGTAATCCGAAGTTGTGCGCTTCAGGGCTGCTTTAGCTTTCTCACTGTGCCAGTCGACCTCCAGAGCTTCCTTCACAGGGCAGAAGACCAGCTTCTGTTGAAACAAGTGGGGGAAAGGCAAAGATGCTTACAAATAACATGTGTGGGCTATAAGTCACACCTCAGAGAAATTTCATTATTTGAGGTTTACTGTTCATTGAAAGAAGCAGGGGCTCATCCCAGCTCAATAAACACTTACTGAGCACTTCTCGTGTGCTCTTCCAGGCACCGGGCCATGGAAATGAGTAGGATGCACACCCTGAACATGAAGAGGATGTCTGGTGGAAAATAGAGCAAAGCTCCTAATAGAGAACTAGCTCCATTCTGGGTCTTCAACTCTGACTGGGTCTATATTACAGAAATACTTAACCAAGTGAGCCAGAGTGTACATCTACTGGTACTCAATAAAATAGTCTTTTTAACAGTCAACAAAGACAAACAGAAAACCAAATGTTTATCAGCAGAGGAATGGTTTAATTGATGATGAATGATGGATGACAACAAAATAATAAACAGGAGGAAAGACAATCAGCAGGGGAGATGGGAGAAGAGGCCCAGCCTGTGAAAACTGCACTCACAAAAACCCTGTGGTGGGAAGACATATGACTGACCTGTTCAGTGAAATCAAGTCATTTTAGAAGATGTCATTATCTATATTGTTTTGAAATATAAATAATACGATTTCTATTTTGCACAATACAGAGGTATTATTTGTACCCAACAAAAAATTTAGACAATCAAAACATGAAGAATTCAGTCTCTAAGTCATCAGCTGGGCCTGAATAAGGGCTGAGAAAAAAGTGGACAAGAAAGGGAAAAGATGGTTGGCCTGGCCAGCAGGGGCCAGAGCAAGGTAAAGAGGGGATCCCAGGGACAGCAGCATGACACCAATTACATTCAAGGCTTTGATGCAACATTATATCGAGAATTTGGGGACCAGGCTTCTAGCTACTGAAATGGGAATGAGAAAATGAGAATGAACTCCGTGATGGGAGATATTGGTATGAACTCATCATTGTCAATCATGGTGGCACAGTTTGAATCTTATGGTTCAAACTGACCTTGCAGTCCAGTGCTTATCTTACAGCGTCAACCAGGACTCCTTTCAATATACAGAGCTGGATTTAAAAAAACTAAACGTAATCCTAAAGGTGTACGTGTGTGTGCACACAATAGCAATGAGTGTCCCTAGCATCCAAATTTTAGTTACCATCCCCACCAAAAACTGTCTGTTTGGAGAAATACCTGATTTCAAAGTGGGGGAGATATAAACCAGTTGAACTGACAAAAATTGTGATCAACATATTTACAGCAAATACTACAGAAAAGAGAAGCTGCTGAGGCTGCTATGGGCCATCAAGCACCTCATCTGATTTGGCTTCTTGGTTCACAGCTTTAGGGTCATGGCTTCATTTGACATCCCAGTGACCTGCCTTAAAAACATGCTTTGTGCTTCTGTTCTACCTCCCAAGTCTGTCACCTGTAGTCATAAAAGTTAGCAAGCAGTCTTCTGAGATACACTAACTGATCTCTCATTCACCTGGAGCAACACAAGGAGTCAGGAATGGGAAGAGGATATGGAACATGTGGCTGGCTACCTGCCTCCTTTACATCAGACCAGAATGGCTGGTGCCTGGCTACCATTACCAAACATTTTCAACAAAGATTCTACAGGAAAATCCTGATCAAAGGGGGGAATCATACAGAATAGAATTTAAATTTTTCATGGATTCCAGACTTGTTGGAGCTATGAAGTTTGGTTAAACCCCACTGAGATAATCTTTAAACCTGAAACCAAAAATATCCCATAAAGTCTTTACTATTCCTAATAATGTTGCTATTAGGTATCATCCAGTCAGTTCCAACTCATAGTGACCATAGGGTCCATAGGGACAAGAGAATGAAATACCACCACACCTGCTCCAACCTCACAATTGTTATGCTTGAGCCACTGTGTCAATCCATCTTATTGAGGGTCTTTCTCTTTCACTGACCTCCACTTTAGTAAACATGATGTCCTTTTCCAGGAGACTGGTACCTCCTGATAACATGACCAAGGCATTAGAAGAAGCATTCTGGCTGTACTTCTTTCAAGACAAATTTGTTCTTCTGGCAGTCCAGGTACTTTTAATATTCTTTCTCAACACCCCAATTCATATGCATCCATTCACCTCCAGTCTTCCTTATCCATTGTCCATGCACATGATGCGAATGAAGATACCATGGCTTGGGTCATACTCACATTAGTCCTCAAAGTGACATCTTTGCTCCTGAACACTTTAACGATGTCTTATGCAGCAGATTTGCCCAATGCAAAGTCCTGTTTGATGTCCTGACGGCTATTTCTATGAGCATTGATTGTGAAATCCTTGACAACAATCGTTTTACCACATATCATGATGCTGCTTATTCCAGTGGAGAATTTTTTTGTGTTTTCTTTCGCCCTGAGATCTAATTCATACTGAAGGCAGTAGTCTTTAATCTTCATCAGCAAATGCAACAAGTCCTCTTCACTTACAGCAAGCAAGGTTGTGTCATCTGCATAACAAAGTTCCCAATCCTGGTATTGAGTTCTCCTTCACAGAGTCCAGATTCTGGGATTATTTGCTCAGCATACAAACTGACTATGTAAGATCCAAAGATAGAGCCTTCGTGCACACCTTTCTTGATGTTAAACCTAATAATAGTTTGGCTTAACTAGTAAAGAATGTCTGCCTTGAACACTGTGCTCTTTTAAAAACTGTCTCTGTGACTTGATTGGAACTTAATCCAACAGCATTTTAGGAGGTTGTGGAATAATATGCGGATATTCATCAGCTACATGCTCAAATTTCTGATGTAAGTAATTCTCAAAGTGAGCACTGAGTGGCTACTAATTTGCTACCCCTGCTAGAGAGTAAGATCCCCTAAGAACTTGA